GGAGGCGAAATCTGCATGGTTTTACGGAAGGCAGAAGGCGTATCAGTTTGGGTATTTGCTATAAGCACCTCCATTCAAGCCCTGAATAGCAAGCAGCTGGAAAAGCTCTGTGTACAGATGTGGTTTTCCTTCTCCTTAACCAACATTTCATTAATTAAATAACATTCCTTCAGTGGAGCAGGGAGGCTTCTGAGGAATGTGGGAAACACAAAGGAAAATGCTAGAATCCTCATTTGCCAATGCTGGAAGAGATCTTAAGGCTTGAGCTGCTTTCACCTCTTAATTTCCTTTCTGCAGACTTTCAAACCCTTTGTCCCTCCTGAAACCCAGAGGGGACCTCCCATCTCCACTCCATCCCCTTAGCTTCCTCCCCAAGCTCCATCTCTGGACAACCCAGTTTGCATCCAAGCTCTGTCCACCATCCAAGCATGTTCACCACCGGGAGAATAAACTCAGGGCCAACGTCTAGGAAGTCCCCTGAAGGGGGTGAGGGACATTTGGACAAGGAACTCTGGGGATCCGGGTACCCAAGTGTGGTCTAGAAGTTGGGGCACAGGCTCTGGGCATTCCCTGGGCTCGGAGGACTCCTTGCCCCAGGGGAGTCACAAGGCCTTACAGGAATCATGGGGGGCCCTCGAAAGTGGGGGACCCAGGAAAGGAGCCCTCGATGCACAAGGCAAAGGATGGTATTGGCTTCCAGATACAGAAATGGTTATTGGTAATAGACTATCATTATCTCCACCACTTACCAGAAAGTTCTACACAGTTCCAAATGAACTAACTGGAGATGTAATAAAGTGTTTAGAGGAACTCAAGAACACCCTTCAAATTTCCCTGAGTTACTAAAAAAAGAAAAAACAATCGGACCCGACCTTAAAAGAAAAAATAAATAACTTTAAATTTAAATCATCTCGCTAATTAAAGCAACTTAGCCTCGATCAGAAACTACATAAAGCTTGAAATTTTATTTTATTTTATTTTTAAGCTTGAAATTTAAAAAAGACTAATAATGAATTTTAAGAGACCAATCCAATAGTCTACATGCTTAAAGTTTTTATGAACTTCTGGTCCAGATTTTTTTTATCTGTTGGGGGTAAAAATCGCCTCTAAAATTTTAGAGAAAACATCCCCTCTGTCATTATTTCATTCAAAACTCTTCCAAATAAATCAAACAAGCATGTAATGATTGGTATCAATGTACTAGACGTCCCATAAAAAGATAGTTTCCTTTAGAAAAAGGTAGACTCTAAGATTTGAAGCCTCAGTCCACCAGAACTGTATCCAATTTGCAAGGAGAACCAGAGACTAAGGGGAGGAGGCGGGGGGGCGGGGAGGCACAATGCCCCAATGAATTTTGTTCGGCAACTACAAATAAGGGGAATCTATGGGGCACATGCAAACGACAATAACTTTCATTTTTTAAAAAAAATTGTTAACAGTGGGCTAGTTTTCAAGTCGGTCCAAACAATAATAGTCCCAGCTGCTTTCTAACAATTGAGTTCAGGTTCAGAGAAAGAGTAAATGAGGCCAGACCACTAAGGAACACTGTGTAAATGTACAACATGAAAAACCCCATGTGAGCAAAGCAGAAAGCTGTTTTTTAGAGGCAAAAAGCAGGCCTTCTCAAAGGCTTCGGTGTGCAGTTTTGATGTAGAAAATCGCATCAAATGTAAATATCTGGAGGGTAATCAATTCCATTCTAAGCTGTTCCGTTTTGCCTGGTTCATCTAGCTGTGCCTTCCCTTTGGTCACAAGCCTCCACGTAGATGGGCACCTTCAGGCACCCGTGAGCTCTTTGACACAAACTTAAGAGCTCTTTGAGGGAGGTGCCACCCAGTCTTTGCAACTTGTAAAATCTGTCGAGTACTTTGAGCTTCCTCAGGAAAGACCTTCTGAAAATAAAGTCACTCATCCCTTTACCTCTGATTTTAAGCCAAGTTTTAAATAACATGAGAAGTTTGACCAGGTCGGTCTGAAAGGTCTACACAGTTCCAGATGAACTAACTGGAGATGTAATAAAGTGTTTAGAGGAACTCAGGAACAGCCTTCTATAATTTCCCTGAGTTACTTAAAAAAAAAGAAAAAAAATCGGACCCGACCTTAAAAGAAAAAAATAAATAACTTTAAGTTTAAATTATCTCATTAATTAAAGCAATGTAGCCTCCATCAGAAATTACATAAAGCTTGAAATTTTATTTTATTTTTAAGCTTGAAATTTTGAAGATGAATAATTAATTTTAAGAGACCAATCCAAGAGTCCACATGTTTAAAGTTTTCATGATTTGCCCTTGTTTTGTCTCATAAACTGATCTTGAATAAAACGGTAGTTACTATCTGTGGGCTAGTACTTTTGGGGGCTCGGAAACCTCACTGGTTCATAAAAAAAAAAAAAAACAATCCTCTTTAACAGTGCTTGTTATTACTCCTAGGTCAGAATCACTATTTAAGTGTAAAAATAACCTTACATGAAGGAATGTTTCCCAAAATGCAGTTAAAATTGGTAACCACGTACCGTTTAGGTTTTGCTATCTGTATTCTGTATTCCACGAGAACACCCTGAAAACAACTTGCAGTCAGCATCTCCTAAAACTCCTGCAAATTATCTGCTCAAACTATGACTTTTTGCTTTTGAGTTCAGGTTCTCCCTTAAGACTTTGAGAACGGAAATATTTGAGCTGCTATTTCAAGGATGTAACTGAAATTATGCATTCCATGCTTCGTATGTTCCTGGAGAGAGGCAAGGGGGTCAACGGAGACATGAACCAACATTTAGAGCAAGAGAGAAACCTGTAAGGCCCCTTTTCAGCAGCGCCTGAAGAAACTTCCAAGCATCATTCTATATATGTCAGCTCATGTAATCCTCACTGCAACTCCACGAAGAAAGCATTGTAGTTATTATGCCTAATTTCAAATGTGGCAACAAGCGTGGATGGTTGAATACTCCTAGTTAGTAAGTCGTAACAAGAGGATTTGAACACACCACTTTCTGGCTCCAAAGTCTTGGTGTTTCTTTCCACCGCGTGGCTTCTCCAGTTTCCCTTCTTTGTTGTTTGCACTTTATTTTAAGGGAATACAAAGCAAGAGGCTGTATACCTTACTTTCGGTGTTGTTCCCCTTATCTTTATATATCAATGATTAACTTTCTATGGCAAAGGCAGACACCCCAGTCTTGACACTTCCCTATTTTTACACTGCTGCTAAAAGCTGATAATAGACTTGAGCTGCTCACACCACCAAAAAACGTTTTGCTGTTTATTTATTTATTTATTTATTTATTTTGGGGACTGCAAAATTTTATGTATTTTAAAGTCAAACCCTAGGAGCTGAGAGATGTGTCAGGACTTCAAGATTAAAAACTGAAGTTGATCCAACACTACTTCCCCCTGAACAAATAATGAAAGAAAGAAAACGCAGAGCACCCTCCCAGGAAAGCTTCCCAATGGCATCTAAGGAGTGTTCCCGAGGGCCCTGCTACAGCTTGGCTCCGATCTGCCGTCCACAGCTGCACATCCGCAGGTGCACGCTGGCTCACCGAAAAACCGGAAGCACTGCTGGGCACTGCTTAACAAAACTTAGCACTTCCCTGGGAACTAGGGAAAGAGGCCCCGGCACGCACGTTTCAGTATCTCCTAAGATCCACCTGAGAGTCTTGTAAGTAAAGACCTGCAAGGTGCATGCACTAGTATTAGCTGGCGTTTCTTTTCTGATTTTTCACTTCTCAGTAGCCAAGTGAAATTTCTGCCTCTACAATGAGTTTTTCTGCCTCAAAAAACACTGCAATGTGTGCTTGGGCTTCTTAAAAAGGTCAGAATGTTGATCAAGCACTGCGAAAAGCTGGCCAAGGGGGTTGAAAAATATATGTATCTTCCCAGATAACTTTGGATATCTATGAATTTTTGTTGAGGTGTGTGGGCCTACCGGGTACTGACTTACTAATAAAAAGCTTGGTAGTGAATCTCGTTGGTAGCTACATCCCAAACAAACCCGGATCCTTACGGAGATGATTATCCACCACTTTGAAATACCAGAGAGGAAATAACATTTTCTTTTGCTAAAAAAAAAAAAAAAAAAAAGAGCAATTGAATTTATTTTTATTTCACTTAGCTAGGCCATTCACGGACAGATTAAAAAGCAACAAACTTTTGCCGAGTCTCGTTAACACATTTGCCTTTTTTAATTTTAGAATATAGTCTACATCTGGATTAAAAAAAGTTTTAAATAAATTTAAGACATATGACACACAGTGGAACCCTTCATCATTCTATGTACACCACGGATAGAATGTCAGTTGGTTCCATTTCGGATAAGTCCACTTTCTCATAATAACATTATTATTTTCACTGGCTGAGCGGCAAGCTTCGTACGAGCTGGCACGGCGCCAGCTTCCACACACTGGGGTGGGGGCGGGGAGGGCGTGAAAGGGCTGGGGTAGAGGTGCCACAGGACAACTATACAGTGTAACAGAAAATCATTAATCTCGTAGTACCGGTTACCGACAGACAATGCTGTTTGTGCGCTTATCACAATGGAATCGACGAAGTTTCAGAGCAAGGAGGGGATTGGAAATACTTTAAGACAGAGCCACTGTTACAAAAAGAAATAGTGCCAACAGGAAAACTGATGCAATCCTAGCAACGCTGCGGCCTCCACCAGCCCAATGGCAGGGCTGTAGGAGGCTGCGCGCCCCGCCTTCCCCAGCGCCCAGCTCCGGGCGCCGCTCCCAAGTGTGGCAACCCAGCGCCGCGCCCCGGCATGGCCCCTTCTCGACTCATCTCCTCCAGAAAGAACAGAAAAGAAACTCCAAGAAAGGCACAGGCTGAATGCAGAGCGTCAGCCCAGTCCCACTGCCACCCTCGTAGAACACAGCCCCCACCCCCACTGCGGGAGAGGGGGAGGGGGCCCCAACCCTGACTCCCGCCACCACTTTGCTCTGCTCTTCGCAAAGAGGCCCCTTCCTCCAGGCAGCCCCGCCGCGCCCCCTGCACGTACGCAGCCCCCCTCCCCCGCCAAATTTGCCGTCCGCCCATCGCCCATCGCGCCCTACAGCCGGAAAGAAAATAGCTTTGAGGGAAAGAGGGTGAGAGATGGGGCCAGGAAGGGTGCTGGGCAGCCGCGGGCGTCCCGCCTCAGTGGCCCCAATTGCTGAAGCCGATCTCCTGCTTGTATCTGTTGGTGAGGATGTTGGCTTTACGCGTGAGTTTGGAGAGCACAGTGTGCAGCCCGCGCAGGTGGTAGTGGAACTGCTGTTCCAGGTCCTCCTCGCCGGCTTCCGCGCCCTCTAGGTGGCTCAGGTCCACCAGGATGTCCTTGGACTTCCAGGCGTTGCCCTCCTCGCTCCCCGCCGGCGGCGGCGGCTGGTGCAGGACCCCCCACTCGATGTCGTTGCGGATGGACTTGAGCAGCACGTAGTGGCTGTACATGTCCCGGGAAGGCGCGAAAAAGCTGCCGTTGGCGCTGCCCGGGCCGGGGGCCGGGGGCGTGCCCTCCTCCAGGCAGCCGCCACTGCCGCCCACCTCCACGCCGACGTCGTTGTCCAGCCCGGGCTCGGCCAGGGGCACGTCGCGCAGCAGGCTGGGCACCATCACCGTCTGGTCCATGTTGTTCACCGCGCCGATGAAGCGGTTCATGGCATTAAAGAGCGAGTGCTTCTGGTTGTAGGTGTCGCAGATCTGCATCATGGTGGCCGCGCGGGCGCCGGGGCACCGGGACGCAGGGGCACGGGGTGGTCGGCTGGGGCGACGGGCTGCCCGCCCTCACGCGCTCTCCGAGGCCCGCGCCGGGGGCCTGGCTAGAGCCGGAGCGCCGGGATTCCCGGCTCCTGCTCCGCCCTCTC